GTTTGAGGTAACAGAGGAAGAAGAAAGAGTGGATGATAGAGCCAAAAAACTAAGTTATTTGTCTGGCTCAGTTTGAAAATGTCTCACGAGTTGAAAACCACCGGCAAAGACCCTTTGTTTGATTAACTTGTTTGGAATGTGCATATATTTACAGATAAGCCAAACTAACTGAACATTCTCTTACGTTGTTTTGTTGAATTAAATGTGTTCTAATCTAAAAATTCGTAAATACCAACTTATGACAGTAGATACATTAACACATCAGATATACGATCATATAATTTTATTATGCCCATTGTTAATCAGTAAGGAAGTTATTAATGGTCTCTGTTTTTATGTATCTTACAGGGTGAGTTTCTTAGAATATTTGCAATACGCTATATTTCTTAGTAACAACATGGCCATAATTCTTCTCAATCAAGAGGCTTATCGTACGAAGCAGTGTTAATGAGATTTCCTTTAGATAAAGTGTTAATGAGATTTCCTTTAGCTAAAATCACGTTTCTTTCTGGTTTCAAATAGTTACTAAATCCACTCCTTGCACAAATTAATCCAGTACCGAAAGCAAAAATAAAAAGTGTATCTTAATTTTTTTTGTTAAAGAATAAAAACTGTATCTTATCCTACCATGATTTAACATAACGCAAAGATTTGAAACTTCGATACCTCCAAAGTAAAAGTGATGTCATCGATATGTTTCAAATATTATTTTTGAGTGCGAGTGTTCCTACATTCCAAATATTTCAAAACTCATATTTGTTGCACATCATGATCTTTCCTCACATTTCCAATTACATGAGACTGTATACATATATATCTAAAATTTCGGTTTAGTACGAAACAATTTAACCGGACAAGACATGTTATATAAATGGTTGAACCGAAAAAGATTTATTTGGTTTGTTTACTTTTGGCCGCCAGGTGAAACCGATTCATTGGATTTTTTTTTTGTCTCGTCAATGTCTTCCTTGGAAAAGAAGAAGAGGAAGACAAAACGATGATTTTGTGAATTTGTTTACAGAATGTAAATTACTAAACATTATTAATTTGTTTATATATTCAATATTTTGTGATTTCAGTTAGGTGAAAATATCCAATGCGAATATGTGAAAAAAACAAAAAAAAGCTGTTTACTTTGTCTGAAAACTTTTCATTATGTAATTGG